TATTCACATCATAATATTTAATAACCATTTCATTTTAATGAATATACGTGTGCTTAAGTATTATATATATATATATATATATATACATATACGTAAGCACGCACTTGTGCATGCGCCTATGTAATAATGCATCTATATACGCATGCACAGATATTGTATTTATCGGCAAATAGTAAATTAATAAAAAATATTGAATCAGTGGGTGTGTGAAAACTTTACATTGATTGCATTATAATCAGTTGAACTTAATTAATTAAATTGACTTTTATTCGCAATATTTTAATAGAATTTATTCACAGGTTATCAACAAAAAAAAAAAAAAATATTATAGATATAAAACTTGGCTTTATTAATTATATAAGAAATATATAATAACTATTGCAAATAAGTTTACAAATTAATATTTTTAACACGAAATAAACAATGTCTTACATGCAACAATGCTCCTCGTTATAACAAGATTAGTTTCAAATAAACGGAAGTTTTTTTTTCGATGCTTTAAAGATCTTTAAATTTTTTTAAAAATTGAATTTCTCCGTAAACAATAAGAAATTGTCAAAACAAAAAAAAAAACAAAAAAAAAAACAAAAAAAAAAACAAAAAAAAATAGAAAAAAAAATTAATGGAAGGAAGAAATAGTATTCTTCTAACATGAATTTATCTTGGATTTATTTAGCGTAAATTTTCAATTGAATACTCTACACACTAACGTGGGAATTTCAGTCACGAGACAAAGTGAAAAAGAAAATATTACATCAAGTTGCGATATTCTACACACAAGCAGATACGAATCTCGGCTCAAGTAATCTAAATAAGCCTATATATATATATATATATATATATATATATATATATATATATATATAAAATATTAGTGTCCTGTATACATGAGAGCTCGTGATGAGGATTCCACACGTGCTTGTGAAGAGTTGAAGGCGCTGGACGTAGTCGTATAAAAAGTCATGAAACGGAGGTTTGTTTGCTTAGGCAAAGTATCGAAAGTCCATGCATCGCCGATCATAGTAAAAAAGCGCGAGCGTTATTAAATTGCGTGGGTGTAAGTGCAAATGCGTGCGAGCGCTATAATGTTCACGCATACCCGTCGTTCAGTTTTTTTTTCTTCTTCTTCTGCTCTTCGCTAGCTTTTCGTCGATAAATATAATATCTCAATGCATATATGTACAATTACGTAGACGTTTATATACGTTAAGAATAACGATCCATATAATTGTATTTTTCGTTACTTGAAAATGCTTAAAAATATGACCGATATATTTTGCAGAATATACAAGAAATTAAGCATCGCGTCTACATTGTTTATTATAGGAAAGTTACATCCGTCAAAGAGCATAATATTAATATTATCGAGGCATTATCGAAGAATAAATGCGACAATAAATTACAGGCATAAACAGGGTATAGTTTTAGATTTCGTATATACTGATAACAACTTTTTTCAAAAATTAGATAAATAAATTATTATGCAGAATTATTTGCTACGTGTATTAATGGCAAATGAAGAATTGTAAATATATGAAATACATAATGATGTCATATAAACAGTTTTTACGTTTAGTAAATACGTTACGTTTAATAAGCTTTGCTTTTTATTTACGAAAAGTTAAAAGGATTTCAAGTAATGTAATTCGAAGGAAATAAAGATATTGTAATTAAAATTTTCAGAGCATCCAGTAATGCGTTTAAAAGTTTAAAATGTAAGTTTGAATTTCGAGTCGAGTCGACGATAGTTGTAAAAAATATTGAAAGTTATTTGTTAGTTGTTTGTATTGTGCAATGAAAACTGATAAATTGTTGGTACGAGAGAGAGATTAAATGGAAATTCTTCCTTCCACTGACTCTCAAATTTAATTCTATTGTCGATCTCTGGCAAATAGAGAACTTTGACACAAGACATTCGGATCAAGGTTCGTAATATGAGAGAAAAATTATCTATCGAATAATTAAAGAAATTGGTATAATTAAAATTAATTAATTATATTTAAAGATTATATTTCAGTTACTCTCTTTGCTACTATGTATATATGTATATATATATATATATTTTTTTTTAATATGTACGTAGAGCTTAATTTATACAAGAGAGCAGCGTTTGTCAATTTAAGGTTTTGTATATTCAAGTTTATTTTTCGGTTTTATAAACTTTAAGACGTGCTAATTTGACTATTAAATTTAGTCCGGCAATACTTACTTTATTATTAAATATACAAAGTTTTCAAATATTAATTCGTAGCAAAATAAGTATCGATCAGCTGTGAAAATATGAAATCGGCCATTTAACCGATTTAAGCAATAGTTTTTTATTAATTTATCAATTTCAAATTTCAAATTTGACGGTAACGTTATAACAATGTTATTCTAGAATTTTTCATGACAATATTTCTTTATAATTTACTTATGAATATTTTATTTAATATCCCCGAGATTGAACTTTTTTTTTTTTTTTTTTTTTTTTTTTTTTTTTTTTGATATAATCTTAATT